AGAAAATTATATGGAAAAAATTTAAAATATGTCCCTATATTATAGTATTTTAGGGGTTTTTTATTCCCTTTCTGTCTTTTCTAAGTGTTCTATGTAGATCTGGATAAGGTAGTGGTATGGAGAAAGCTCTCAGGCATTTCAATTTTTATTCTTTAAATATTTTCATTCCTCTACAACTGATAGTTGGCAATCTCTTCATTGACTTAACTCCTAATTTCAAAGCCTATTAAAGTTGAATATTTACAATGAGAGACTATTTTTAAAAAAGTCAAATGGCTACATAAATATATTATTATAGTTAGACTAATGTAGATACTAGGCAGAAGCCAAATCCATTTACAGTTACATTTCCTGTAGTATTTTGTTAAACTTTTATATTAATAACTCGTGATTACTTACCACTCTATCAGGCTTTTTCTACAACTCAACAAATCTCTGAGTGATAAAAGCTCCTAATTTTATTTACCTGCATTAGTCTTTCCAACTGATAGAACTTGCAATGAAGATCTTCAAAGTTGTTTTTGTAGAGGTCTCGCAAACCATAGTCATACATGATTTTCACCAAAACACAGAATGCCTGTTCCTCTGGCATCTACAGGAAAATACAGACATACAAGACATGAGCAAGTGGCATTTGACCAGAATGTCAGCAAAGTTCCTTCATGCTGTTAGTCCCCTGCATAAATAGTTGAAGGCCTGTAGTAAATGATGTCCTTGGAGCCAGACTCTGGAGAGTAACACAGGTAAGATGCTTGTGCAAAACTTCTAGTTTCTTCACTTGACATGAATTGCCCTCTTTTGTTAATCTTAATCATGCTGTCATTCATTCCTCAGGCCATCTTTAAAAAACAGGCAACATAGTCATGTGATTAAGAAATCAAAATAATAGAAAAGGATACAAAGGTAAAAGTCTCCCTCCTTCCTCTCCTTATATACAATAGTCCCTGGTGCCTGCCCCCACCAACCTCTTTCACACAACCTCATAACTACTCTTAATAATTTCATTCTGTATTCTGCCAGTGTTTCTCTATGCAAATAAAATAATTACATTTCTTATTTTACCCATATCCTACATAAAAGATAACATTCTATATATATAGCTATGCATCTTTATTTTTTTCTTAATAATATAAGTTGTAAATATTTCTACCTCAGTATATAGTCGCCTGTTTATTTTTTAAAAATAGCTACAAAGTATCCTATTATGTAGATATACCATATTTCATTTAACCTTGTATCCATCCGTAGTTTCCTATTAATGGATACTTGAGATGTTCCTAATTTTTTGTCACCAATAGCTGCAATAAACAACCTTGTATATGCATCATTTTTTTTCACATGCACAGGAATGGGGTTGGGGTACGGGACATTCCCAAAAGAGGGATTGCTGGGCCACAGGATAAATGCATTTTTAATTTTGATAGACAGTGTAATACTGTTCTCTCAGAGTGTTCTTGATGTTGCTATTTTTCTATAAAAAACAGTTTTCTGGAAAACGAGCAATAAAATCTAATATATTAACCCTTTCAGAGGTACTTTTTATCTGAACAGGAAATAAAACTCTGAAGTCAAAGGGATGAATCTCTAAATTGTGGTATCAATAAACTTAAAGCATATGGAAAGGGACATATCCAATATTCTAGAATTACATCAAGCAAACAGAAAAAGCTGTTGTACTTACTCAGTGTCCTAGGATGTAACTATTATGTAAATATCTACTTGAAATATCACTTCCTTGAAAATATGAACTTGGCTGATTATGATATTTCATACCTTTGTTAGACTAACCTCATGCCTGAATAACTGAATCAAGTAGGGTTCTATTTGTCCACTTAGAAAAGTAATTGCTTTAAGTTTTTATACAAATCAGCCACTACTTATAAACGATGAGATACCTAAATTAGTTAAATAAAATCTCCTAAAGTTAAATAAGTACACTTTGCTGTTGTCATTTTGATTCTCTAAATATCTGCTTATTTCATTTTTAACATAAGTTGTTTGAGGACTTTTCAAAGTTTTTGGCCTTTGACCTGAGCTGTTCAAGTCAGCAAATATTTTCCAGCTTCTATTCAGTTATTTAGAATACAAGTACACTACATTCTTTACTCCTTTAGCAAATGTGTCATTGATACCTCAAGGGACACTAACTGGTATAATACATATATGTCCTATAATACTTCTCTTACCACCAAGTTCTAAGTCCCTTTATCTTAGTCTCAGATCTCTACTCAAATGCGCATACAAGAGAACTTCATGTAAGGTATACTGTAGCCTGTCCTAGAGAAAATAATTCACTTAAGTCTCTGTCTTTCTAAGTAAATGACAATTAGTTGAATATTTTACCATCTCGTGATCTTATAAAGGGAAGGAGCCTTTATCTTCTTGAACGTGGTAAAATCATTAAAGCAAATAAAAGGCTTAAATGCCTTTTGGCATTCATACACTCAGCCACTGATCGCATGAGAAACAGACTCCGTCCTGGGCTTTGCGGATATGGAGGTAAAGGTACAGTGCCTTCCCAAAGGATGAGTAAACAGGCAACTCCACTCGAGTTCGATAAGGACACAGAAGTCCTGGGGTGGGGAAAGCTCGGTGTGTGGATGAGAGGGCGGACGTCCCTACCGCTGGGGTGCAAAGAGAGCAATGGCTGCATAAAGATCAGGATAAAGTATTCAGGGTGATGACGGGGCAAAGACAAATGGAAACAAATTTCTGCTTGTTTCAGGTACGCAGCTTAAATATCATTTCTCTCCCCGGCTCTACCTCACTCTCCTCACACACAGGAAATAATATATTTAATATGAGTTCTCCAAAAACAAAACCATTTAAAAGTTTGAACTCGATCCCTAGAAAATAAGAACTTGTGACTATTATAATAACTGACAATCCC